TCTATTCCTAGAGGTTTTACATGTCCTTGAGGGGAGTTGGGGGTTGGGGGGGGGCCGGCTTCAATTGATTTGTGATGGCTGCTTGGAACACTGTGTAGGAAGGTGGAGCAGGTAGCATCCAGGCTCAGGGAAAGTGTGGGGATGGGCTAGCAATGTCTGCCATGGGCAGAGGCATGGAGAGAGGCTCATGTGAGCCACTAGTTTAGGGTTCCTGGTTGAGACATCTCCTCCATCCTTTGCCCTCTGTGACCTCTCTGGGAAAATTCATGAAAACCCTGGAATGCTGGGGTTTCTGCAGGTGGGCCCAGGAGTTTATCTCTTTTGTTTTTGTTTTTTGTTTGTTTATTTGGGGGGAGGGGATTAGGTTTATTTATTTATTTATTTAAATGGAGGTACTGGGAATTGAGCCCAGGAACTTGTGTTTGCTAAGCATGCTCTCTGCCACTGAGTGGTACCCTCCTCCCCATCTTTTATTTAGAATTGACAAAAGCCCTTGGTGCCAGCAACATGTCCTGCACTCTGGATGGCTGCTCGGAGGCTCCATGGGACCAGGCAGGTGCAGGTAAGGACCTCACAGGTTCTTACCCCATGCCAGTGAATTGCTGGCGGGGGGGGGGGGGGGCAGTGTTGGGTATACGAGATGGCTGTGAGCGTGGATTCCTGGATGGAACAGCATGCACCTTGTCTCCTGACCTTGGCCACGTTTGTGGTGAACTAGGGCAATGGGGAGCCACAGAGTGTGCCTGAGCTACAGAGGTATCCTCTGACATGCATTTGAATTTGTGTCCCATCTCTTCTTGCCAGGACTCTGTGGGGACTCTCCCTGTGGCTACTGGTTCCCAACACTGGTGGGAGAGGTTGTGGTGATGGGAGCCTTGGGTTTACCTTGAGAAAGCTCCCTAGTAAGATGGGTGCAGGGAGCTGTGCTCAGGGCCAGGGGAGCCCAGCTTCCTATAGTGAGCTGCTTGTTGGAGCAGTAAATGCATCTAGGGCAGAGGCTGGCACTGGTGGTGGTGCAGGGATCCTGAACTCCAACCCTAAGATGGAAATATTTCATGGGGATGTCCCTGAAATGGGGCAGGAAACAACTGAGCCAACTAGAAAAGGACCAGTGGGCAGGCGGCTTAAAATCTGGATGTTCAGAACCCAGGGCGGATGAAGGGATTCTAGAGCAGCTCACAGCTCAACCCCCTTGGGTATCACTGCTTGGAGAGCCTTGTGAGTCCACCCAGTTAAGCAGCTCCCACATTCTTCACCCACAGAAACTCTGAGACAATAAATGTATATAGTTTTCAGTGGCTAACTTTTGGTGTCATTTGTTATGCCACAATAGCTAACTAATACACTCCCTAGCTGATTTGGGGCAGCAGCTCATAGTCCGTTGCTGCAGATAAACTGATGAATATTTACACTTATTGGGATAATATGAAGATTAAACAGACTTCTGAGGGTTGGGTGGAGGAATAGCTCACTGGTAGAGCACATGCTTAGCATGCACACTGGGTTCAATCTCCAGTACCTCCATTAAAAATTAAATAAAATATGACACAAATGAAGTTATCTACAAAACAGAAACAGACTCACAGATATAGAAACAAAAAACAGCAACAACAAAATAGACTTCTGGGTGTCAGAATCTCTGGGGATTTGCAACTTCAGGATGAGGGATTGTTGATGGGCCGCTTAATCTATTTAACCAGAACCTAACTGATGGTGGGGTTTTCTTCTAGTCGTTTGCACTAACAGCTAACACCACAGTGAATGACCTTGTATATATTTCTCCTGCAAGTGCATGTCCTTGGGTAAATCCCCCAAGGTGAAATCTCACAGTTTACAGCATGCATGTTTGTCATTTCAATGGCAGTCTCTAGAGTGCTGTCCATCAGGGTGGTCCCATCTGGTGCCCATCATCTGTGTAGAGGTGGCCCATCTCCCCACAGGTTGAGCTGATTTGGGATTTCTCAGATCTTCTGGGTGAAAAATTATGTCTTGGCATCGTTTTAATGGTAGACCTTATTGGGGATGAGGTGTAGAATCTTATCATGTGTTTAGGAGCTTCTCTGTGAACCTCCATTTCTCTCCGTGACCCACTTACCTGCTGGGTGCTTGTACATTTCTATTACTTTTTTGGGGCTGGGGGTATTAGATTTATTTATTTATGTATTTTCAAAGGAGTTTCTGAGGACTGAACCCAGGACCTCATGCATGGTAAGTATACACTCTACCATTGAGCTATACCCTCCCCGCCCAATTTTTTTTTTAATAGAGGTACTGGGGATTGACCCCAGGACCTCGCACGTGCTAAGCATGCATTCTACCATTGAGCTAAACTCCACCCCTTCTATTACGTTTTTATTGTTAAGCCTTCATTTATTGGGTATTTATTATGTGCTAGGTATTTGATATGTCCAAACATTTTGGCATCCTATGATACTTCCCATTTTACAGATGTGGAAACTGAGGCTCAGAGAGGGACTTGCTCCAGGCAACCAGGCTCCAGCACCGAGATCCGGCCACTCTGCCCACTGCCTCCTCCAGGGACACTCCAGAGCTGAATCACTGCTCACATTCATTGTTGTTTCCAATGGATAAATGTCTACTAGTGGAATTTCTGAGTCAAAGCATATGTACCATTTCAAGGCTTTTATAACCCCCCCCACACCTCCACCTGACTCCTCTCCAGAAAGGATATGCCTTATTTACTCCCACCAGCAAACATTGTGCATATTCTCCATATCCTTTCCAAATACTAGGAATTTTCATAAAAGAAAAAACTGACAATTTGATAGACATACAAATTTCATTGTTTCATTTGGAATTTCTTTCATGACTAAATTGAACCTAAAAATATGTTTATTGACCATTTATATATTTGTGTGTTTATACGTTTTGTTTTAGTGAATTTCCTCTTCATGGCTTTTACCTACTTTTGTCTTCAGGAGATTTTATCTTTTGCTTATTGATCTCTAATAACTCATTGTATATTAAGGATATTAACACTTTGTTCTACAGGCTACAGATTTTTTTTTCTCAGCTTCCTGTGGGCCTTTTGGGTTTGTCTACTTGCTCTCAGTCTTAATTTGGTATCAAGTTTCCCAGCTGAGAGTAGAACTTTTATGGCTTCCTTCTGCTTGCCAGAAAAGTCATCTGTCCACTGGAGGTTGGCAGCTTCTCCACATCACAAGTCTTCCAGCTGCTCTGGAGTAGGTTCCGGAGGGATTTCCCCAGTGTTTTTCTCAGTTCAGCTTTCAGAGAGGGAAATGCACACTCCATGGTTTCCTCTCATTCTGCCCGGGAATTTTCATCCTTCCCTGAGAGAATGAGACTTTCGTCACTTTTCCTGACTTTTGCCCTACTGTCCTTTGCCCACATTGAGGACACACTATCTGTGCCCTGAATTTTACTTAACAATATTGAGCCTCTCCCCCACCACTCACGTGAATATAGATTTGAGCATCATTCTTAAAACTTCATTTTTAAGAATGCCACGAAAATGATCAATTAGAAAATAGATTATTGGGTAACAGTCTTCTTGTAGCATTTCTATGGGAACGCCCACTTGCCTCCGGAGCGCGTGCTCAGCACGTTCCATCTTCACATCAACTTTGCGGGGTCTTTATTTTACAGATAGACAAACTGAGGCCCACACAGCAAGCCCACGCGGGGGCTGGATTTGAAGCCCAGGTCTGGGGACACAAGGGCCCGTGCGCTTAGGACCCAACAACCCCTGAGAACATCCCAGGGAGACTGAGAACTAGCAGGTTGAAAACTAAAACTCATGCTGCAGCAGAGGAAACTGAGGCTCAGATCTTTCGAGTCCCAAACCAGATAGTAACTATTCAGGTGCGCCTGGTGACACAGCCAAGGTCTTAATGCAAATGTAAGTTGGACGGAAAATCAGTTGAGGAGTTGAGGGTCCCGGGGGCACTCGCCAAGAGGCAGGGCAGATTCTGAGCTCTGACACTTTCACAGCACAGACCGATGTTCCGAGCGCTCCGCGTCTGGATGGAGGGAGGCAGGACCGGGCATAACGGGCTGGCCAGCAGACTGACATTGCACTGGGCGGGCGGCTGCTGAGGGCTGGATGCACTTTGTGTCTTTAAGATCATTGGGAGGCGGGCCCAGGCAGCTGACTCACGCCGGGAGCTCTCCTCCCCTTTAAGGCGCGCAGCAGGGGCGGGGCACCTCCGACGGCCCCTTTAAGGCGCGATCTGCGTCTGCCGGCAGAAAAGCGGCTTAAAGGCGACGCGTGGCGCGATGGCGGTGGCCCCAC